TCGTGTCACGGCGGTGTACCCGTGACTGCTATGACTTTTCAAATATCATGGAGAGTGGCTAGGCACCTACATCAGCCAGTTCCCTCAGGACTCTGGGATGCATCCCATTGGGACCCATAGACTTATGTACGTTCAGGTTTCTCAGGTGGTCGTGAACTTGATCTTCTCTTACAGTGGGAGGACCTCTGCCCCCCTGATCCCCGTCAAATGGTCCATTGACTCGGGAGGTGTGAGGAGAGAGGTTGCCAATGAAGACTGAGGCAAAGAAGTTGTTGAGTACCTAATCAGTGTCCCCCGTGTTGGCACGGAGGTTTTGGACATCACTATCCCAGTGTGTCAAATGTGCACACACAGATGACATACCTACTGGCACAAAGACCTGCATGGAGAAGAAGCAGCACAGACAAGGACATTGCATCTCCATCCCAGCCTACCCTTTTTTCCCAGGAGGTCAATGCTCTCCCTGCTTTGAATTCACAGGCCTTTTCAGCAAAGGAGAGAAGGGCATTTGAGCTTTATGGGCACCCGTGACTGTGTGGAGGGTGAAACAATCCTAAATATTGGAAAAGAAGCCCACCCACTGCATCACATGGGCTCAGAAAGGTAGAGAAATCATCAGAAAATGAAAAAAAGCAAAGTAAAAGGCAAGAGTATCCTGTAAGCCATCACTCAGTGGAGATAAGGAAAAAGGCGGCTCTGGAGTCAGTTTGGGGGAATAAAAATAAGCAGCAGGAGAGAAGAAACTGTGTTCCTAACAGCCCCCTCACTGCCACAGCCACTTGGCAAGCTGGAGGAGGGTGCCCAGCACCAGAGCTGACTCCCAGGGGAGACCCAGGTCTGCGTGGCTGGAATAACAAGCTCCCCTGTTCACAATGTCTGTCTGGTTACCGCCACACTGAAAAATCTGTCTCAAGTGAGGCAATCAAGTTGTCTCTCAAGCAGAGATGGAAGGAAACTCTTTTCTCCTTAGGGAAAAAAACACGTAGCTCTCAAATATATATAAAGTTTGAAAAATAGTGTTTTGGAGGGATTGGATTCTTCTGCTTTTCTATCCTCCTGCCTGAAGTGCATTTTTTTCAGGTTCTTGGGAACACAACCACATGAAGAACCACATAAACCAAGGTCTTCTTTGCATCCCCTTCCTAAAATAGGTCCAGTACAAGTGGGCAGCGGAGCAGCGTGCCCTGGCATCCCACACCTCCTGTCCGAAACGGGAAGCAGGACAGGGCTCAACCCTCTGGAGCTTGGTCTCCTTGTGTCACCCTGAGCTGCAAGGCAGAGCCAGCTGCAACGCAGAAACTCTTTCC